TGTGTAAATCATGAAGTAGCGGATGGATACATTGGCGGATATTATTTCGAAAGTCAACAAATATACAGTGAGTACGTCCAGGCTCTACCAAAGCTTTGTCTCAAATTTCTCCCTTAGCTTCTCATAGTGCTTCACATCGCCGACACTCGGCCTGACGGTCTTAGCCGCCTCGACGAAATCAAACTCCTCGACCACCTCGCTGCGTCTTCGAAGCGCGTGTTGTCCGGCTTTGCGCAACAAACTCTCCAAATCAGCACCGGAGAAGTTATTGCATACGTCTTGGCGACCGATTCCGGCGAGCTTGTCGCTGAGAACGCCGCGTTGCCGAATGAGCGCCTTCAGGATATCCACACGCTCTTCTGGCTTGGGCAATTCGACGTAAAGTAGGGTCTCCAAGCGCCCGGGTCGGAGCATTGCCTCGTCTATCATGTCGGGCCGGTTGGTAGCAGCGATGAGATATATGCCTTCGCGCATGGACAGGCCGTCGAGCTCTGTGAGCAGTGTGTTCACAACGCGGGCGGAAGCTTCGTGGAGCTCGGTGGAGCGTTTCGGAACGAGGGCGTCCAGCTCATCAAAGAAGATGACACACGGTACGGAAGAGCGGGCGCGCATGAACACCTGGCGTAGGGCCCTTTCGGACTCTCCAACGTACTGGAACTTGTTAGTATGCGGAATGTCTTTTGAAGGCCATTTTGTAACGTACCTTGTTCAGAAGCTCTGGCCCCTTGACGCTGATGAAGTTTGCTTTGGATTCCGCAGCCACCGCCTTGGCCAGAAGTGTCTTACCGCAACCAGGCGGTCCCCACAGTAGCACTCCAGTGGGGGCTGAGATACCAAATTTGGCAAACTTGGCCGGATCTTTGATGGGCTCGCAAATAGCCATCTCGAGCTCTTCGCGAACACCTGCCAGCGCTCCGACATCTCGCCATGTAGTGTCCGGCACAGTGGCAAAGCCTTCTCGCTTTGATGATGGGGTGATAGTAGGAAGTACGGCCTCAAAAGCTTCCATCGAGATTACTGTATCTTCGAAGCCCTCAGGCCGTGGAGCTTCCGTATCCTTGACGCGGGTAATCAGACGCCGAATAGATTGGTACACCCGACTATCCGCGTTTAGCGAAAGACCGTCGTCAATGTCCATTGTAGTCTCTGCGTCGGCCGCTTGCTTCTCGAGTGCTCGTCGATACTGATCCATAGACCATGTACCTGCTTTGCTAACCAGATCCTTCAAATCGGCACCTACGAATCCAGCTGTCCGTTTCGCTAGTACACCAAAGTCGACGTTCTCCGCGAGCTTTGGTTCGCGCGTTAGAGCTTGGAGTATAGACCGTCGCATAAGCTCGTTGGGTACACCCATGTTGATTTCGGTATCGAATCGGCCTCCTCGACGCAGGGCTGGATCAAGACTATCAGGGCGGTTGGTAGCGGCGAGTACGATAACAGGCTTGCCATTGTTGCCTTCCATAGCCAGACTGTCCATGGATATGAGAAGCTGGGCAACTATTCTCTTCTCCATTTGACTTTGTGCACTGTCGCGCTTAGGCGCAATGACGTCGATTTCGTCGATGAAGATCAGACATGGTGCAACCTCCTTGGCCTTCTCGAAGTGTTCTCGTACTTGCTTCTCGGATTCTCCAGACATGCCTGACACGACGGATGGGCCCAGAATCTCGATAAAGGGGACGCCGATTTCGGCAGCGAAGGCTCGACTTATGACTGTTTTACCGCATCCAGGTGGTCCATGGAGGAGTATACCGCGTGGTATTGGGATCTTACGGTTGGCGTATTCTTGTGGGCAGAGAAGCGGGAGTACCAGATGCTCTTTGAGTTGCGTCATGACCTTCTCAACACCCCCTATATCTTCAAGTGTAACACCTGTAGGAGCCGCAGTGTCGATCTTGTTCTCCTGCGCCCCTGCCTTCTTCTGCCTCTTGGCCTCCCTCTCTTCTTTCGACTTTCCACTATCCCGCTTCTTGCTCTTCTCACTCTTTTCCGCATTTGCAGCAGGCGGAATCGCCCATTGATTGACAATTTGCTTGTTCATCCAATCGCTTGATCGATCCTTCTTCTCCTTTGGCTCGTCCATGGTAAAGTCTCCTTCAAGTTCGGCCATCTCGTCTTCGTCGTCGGATTCTTCGTCTTCGCGGATAACGTCAATCACGCGGTCAATAGAGTCCTCAATCTGCTTCTTGGGCCGCCTCTTCAAGCTCGAGTTTGATCGCTGTATGTAGTCGTATACCGTAGATAACCGGAGCTTCAGCGCCGACTCACCCTTTTCGTCCAGGTATTTACGGACTACTTGGTACACCTCCTTATCGAGGCCAGCCTGAAGAGATGGCCGACCTTTTGAGACCATGGCGACCACGATGGTAGGACTTGAGTCAGAAAATAGGTACAGACTTGGATGTATTCGCCTGGCGTAGTTGGAGTGCTGGACCTTTCTAAGCACCCGACAATGGATAAGGCTCGAAAACTCCTGGATCCGTACAGCCAGTGAGGCCTGATACTGATACAATGGTGACTGGGCTGCGACACGAGACTTGCACGGTGAATTGGTATGCAACGGTAATGTTGCGCGTGGCTGTCGCATCACCAAAAAAGTTCGCGACGGCTATCGATAAGGAAGAGTAGCGCCGAGCTTAGCTTAGCTCTAGCCCGCATACGTCAATCAAGGCACAGGGTCAAGTCGCATGCGCAACTCCCATCCCTCATGGATCTCGCAGCAATATGGGCAACTCAACCAGCGCGAACAAGATTTCAGCCCAGGATAAGTGAGTCGTGAATGCTACTCTGTATAGACTTTGCTGACGTGCCAGGGCGATCCTGGATATGAAGAACCAGCGCGATAAGCTACGACAGTACCAGAAGCGCATCACCGTCCTGACCGATCGCGAGAAGGAGATCGCCAAAGAGTGCTTAGCCAAAGGCGATACGAATAAGGCGAAGCTAGCGCTGAGGAGAAAGAAGTATCAAGAGGGTCTCTTATCCAAGACCGATGCTCAGCTAGCGCAGCTCGAGATCCTGACGAGTGATGTCGAATTCGCTCTGGTCCAGAAGGATGTCCTGTTCGGTCTGCAACAGGGAACGGCAGTGCTCAAGGAGATACACAAGGAGATGGGCGGCATAGAGAACGTGGAGAAGTTGCTGGGCGAGAACGAAGAGGCTCGGGCTTATCAAGAGGTGCGTCGCAACCCTACGCTTCTAACCAGATGGGTGCTGACACGCGCAACAGGAAATCAGCGAACTCCTCGCGAACAAAATGTCGAACCAAGACGAAGACGAAGTCGAAGACGAGCTCGACGCTCTCGAAGCCGAGGTCAACGGCACCGTGCCTGCACTGCCCGACGCGCCCGTTGCCCAGCCACAGTTCACACCCGAAGAGAAGGCGCAGATGGCCAAGGACAGAGCGGCGAGAAGGGCGAGGGAAAGGGCTGCCGAGCAGGCATCGCAGCCCATGCTGGCATGATGAGACATTGCATTGGCGCATAGACTGCATTAGAGCGTGGCGTTGGGGTGTTTTGCTGGCATCGCGTGGACCGTGTGGCACTTGGCATGGTGCATGTTTGCTACATCTACGCATATACACAGGATTCTATCTGCGACGTTGTTCCACGGGTTTCTGCAGATGATGACGACGTGTGCGAAACATGGGCAATGATGCGGCGTCTTGCATGTTTGCCGTCTACGCCAGTCTCGCCTTCTCTTCACACGCCGAGCGCGCTGCGTCATAGCCCCTGCCCTACAACAACGCCGTCCCTCCTGCCATCCCTCTCCAAACCACCAGAACCTTCCGACGCTGCATCAACAAGCCTTACCCCAGCTCCCTGCACGAAGCTCAAAGCTACCCCGCCATCCCCCCACTACCATCAGCCTTACCGAGCAAACACACCCGACAACCCCAGCAAACATGTCACACTCACACTGTCACGACGAGCATCACGACCACTCGCATGGCGACGGCCACGACCACAGCGATGACATCACGCCCGCGCTACAGAACATACTCTACGAACAACTCGACTTCCCCAAGCTCGTCACCCTCAACGAAGATGAATCCAACAGCGGCCGCGCAATCTGCCAGAAAACATGGGCACAGCGCCTCGACCCGGAACCCGAGCTGAAGAGCAGCGCTGACGAACAGATCCTCATGACGGTCCCCTTCACCGGTCAAGTCCGCCTACACTCCATCATCTTGCGTACAAGCCCCGGCCCCGACTGTCCCAAGACCCTCAAAGTCTTCGTCAACGAAGACTCGCTCGATTTCGAGATGGCCGCCGAGAAGGAACCTACACAGATACTTGAGATCAGCCAGACGAGCGAGGTGCAGGAGATACCCGTCAAGAGGGCAAAGTTCGGCACTACCCGTAGTCTGAGCTTGTTCTTCGAGGATAACTGGAGTAATGGCGAGGAGGACGAAACGCGAATAAGTTATCTGGCATTCAAGGGCGACTTTATGAAGCTGAACAAGGAGGCTGTTTCTGTGCTGTACGAAGCTGCTGCAAACCCTAACGATCATAAGAATATTGTGGGTATTGGACAGGGCGTGGGAAGGAGTATACAGTGAGCAGGATGGTTGCATTGAGCTACGAGTAGTCGCGTTGGAGGAACTTCACATAGGCATGGCGCATGGCAAGGCGTCATTATCAAGTAGCGTGGGTATGCTACAGAGTGTCGATTCTACGACCTTGACGTATGTACAAACAAATGCATTTCATATTCTGAGAGGTCAGCATAGGCGCATGGAATGTTTATGTGAGATGACATACTCAGCGTTGTATTTGCGCTTTCGTGGGTATCGTTTCCTCCGTGTGTGCATGTATGTCTCTATCCGATCCAAATAGCGCCCGCCATGTGGTTCTGCGCTCAGTCTCTTCTCTGGCGCTTGATGTCGTCCCAAACCGCGGAGATCGTTCGCTCTGGGCGTGCCCTTAAACTCCTTCGCCATTTGCGCATGTCTTTTTCGTATGACATCTTCCGTTCCCGTATCGCTGCCTCTCGCCCGCTCAAGTATGTCTCGTGCCGCCCAACACCTCGCCATGCACCTTGCCCCAGTCAATCTTCGTGTCAATCTCCTCATCCACTCTGCCCACCACCGCCACACTATCGCCCCGTATGATGTACAGCCCAAGAGGCACCTCTTCACTGGGTTCTTCGTCTTCTATCGGTCGGATGATGCGCTCGACGGCTTCTTGGAGGACGAGGTTCATGCTGCCGTCGCACGAGTGGAGGAGCCCGACCATGGTGCGGCCATCGAGGGTGAGGACTGATACGCGCTCTAGAAATTGTTAGGAGAACGACATGGCAAGGAGCTGTAGAGGCGAGACTTACTGTTTAGGTAGGCGTTTAGTGCCATTGTGAGGATGCTGTTTCAAAAACCGCTGGTCCAGATATTCGGTGGAAGTGCGTTACTCAGCCGGTACGTGAGCGCGCCTAGGTTGTTTTCTTCAAAGCTTTTCTGCGAAGGAACGAACGATGCTTGCGTAATGTTTCGCGGTATCGTGTCTTCTGGAAAAGGTTGCGACTTGCTGCGGGCTTATGTCGCGAAGTTGTAGAAACTCGAACGGATCTCTTCGACCGGTGAGACTCAAGGTGGATTATTGCGGGTTGGGTGAGCGAGAGAAAGCGACGTGTTGCTTGCGCGTGACGTGGTTTGATTTGAACTGGACATGAAGCTCGCGATGCTTTCCGGTGGAGCTTCAGATGGCACGTGCGCCGAGCCAATCAGCGCGGTCTTCCCTCCGCATCGCTGCTCTTCTCTCCTCCCTTCCCTTCTCCGTCACACTAGCAGATGCCGCGGTCCCTTGTTGCTCTCCATGTGAGCGCTGAATACCTCATCCTTCGGTTTACCCTGCTTCTACTGCTGCTACCCGCAACCCAGCCCGATTTGACCTCAGTATCTGTTCACACAGCGCCACTCTAGCCATTTCGCAAACTTGGACTTGCGAAGAACCACTTCATAAGAAGACTATAGATACTACTCCCAGGATATCCAATAATTGGAGGTCGGCCATCTGCGATGCTCTCGGTGGTTTGAGCGACGTCAACTCCTGCATGAAATGCATGCGCACCGTATGTTTCCAGTGCTGGTGGTCACACATCATCGTAGAACTCACCATCGATCAAGCACAACACGCATGCGAGATGTGTTGGAAAACGGTATTTGGAAGGTTTCATCCATTGTCTACTGTCCACCGTACATAGCGTCAGGCTAAACTACGAGGTAACTTCTGCAAATGTCGACTTCCAATTATTTGTAGGTCTTGCGTTCCAGGACTCCCAGACGCACTACCTTCCCTCCGACACTGTAACTCCAGCCCCATACATTACTCAGTCTAGCATTGGAAAAGGGTTCTGTTTATGCAGCCTCTGCCTACAACTTCTGGCCATATGCAGCGTCATATCATTGGGTTGCATCGGTCGACTCACACAGCCGACCCATGGTTACGTTGATAAGAAACACCCTCGATTGTGTATTCACAGACATATTTCGGCTTTTGCACATAAATATAACAACGCATATTTGATCATATTATCCTCTTTCACACTCCGACATTGCGAAAGCTGTGACAAGTCGCCTCAAGAGACTGTACAAACATGTTTTCCTCTACCGCCCGCATCGCGATGCTTCAAGCTCGAAGCTTTCACAAAACCGCCTTGAAGCCTGCATTCACTAATGCTACAGCTTCTGAGATGAAGGAAGGTCGTTCCCACCATCGCAGTACGCAGGATCTAATCGAATGTAAACAGTCTCCCACCACACTATCCGACACCAGCGCCCGAGCAGCATGGCAACACTACCGCGACGTCGAGGCCCACCAGATATGGCTCTCTTCCCCTCGCAAAGAGTCTTTCCCGACGAAATTGTCAACACAGCATTCACATCACCCCGACCCAACGCCCGCAATGACTTTCCGGAAAGACCGCGAGATGCACATAGCTGCACGTCGCGCGTCGGATACTGAGATGCAGGGAAAGATTGACCCAGATCGCAAGCTTGTGGGGACTCGGCTGGGTTTCATGAAGGAGACGAAGGAGACAAAGTCACTGCGCTCACGTTGGTTGGACGCGTTGTTGGGTGGTGGTGAAAGGACCTGAACTTCACGCTCGACGCGGCAATCGTTTTCTATAGAAAGTTTGAATCATTGTGAGATAGATCGATATGCATGCATGTATATTGCTAGCACCTCAATTCAGGGACGCGATATGATGTCGACTTCGCTCTCGTGGCTACGTGTTGGTGTTCTTTCCATCGCGGGTGCTGGAGTTGTTGGATGGTTCCCAGGCCCGTGGCTTGCCGACTCAGGTGTTGCTTAGTAATCATCAATAGTCTTCGCTTCTCCCTTCGGCACTCCTCGTTCCATCTCCTCATCATCGTCCATCCGTGACATCATCACCCGATTCACATCTGCAGCACGTCTTTGTCGCGTCTTTGCGCATCCGTACAGTACGAATGCCGTCATGATGAAAGCTATCCCGAAGCCTTGCCGTCGCGCTTCACGTGAGTGCATCTTATCGCTTGCTCGCTTCTGAACAATCATCTTCGTGGACCTCGGAACAGTTGTTTCTTGAACCGCCATCGCTATCATTCCTCTCAATTTACTCAATGTGCATCTTGGTAGAGCTGTGCACATATGCCAGCAACTATCCTCGTCCAAGTCTGGAAACATCGTGGCGATGGCGGTCCGCGCCTGTCAGTAACACTTACTCAATACGCCACGTTGTCCATGTTGCTCGGGTGACGGTTCTATCAGTAAGTCCTGTGGTTGTTGTTTTGCTTCGTGAGTGGAATGACAAACACTAGGAGGCTATGATATGTGGTATGATTGTCATCAAGCTACATGATCCTAAGGTAATCGACATTGACGCTATTTCTGGCCCATCACTGGGCAATTGTCACGCTTGCTTGCTATCACAGTGTTTATAAGCGAGGGCAGAGACATATGTATTAGAGAAAGCGACGGCTCCCTTCCCTGATTATCATCCATAATTCGCTACTGTCTCTGGTCTTTGTCACTACGACCATATTGGGTGGCGAGTGCGTACAATCTAGTGTTAATGTGGAGAGAAAGGGAGCGGGGCAGAAGGCAATTCCGTTAGAGGCCGTTGTCACGAGACGTTTACGCCTGCACAGTCAGTGCGCCGTTTCCGAAAGAACTGGGCGACCAATCAGCCAAGGGGTGTACGTGTATATCTCACCTTTCTAGTTTTGAGCCCGCAGCGCTTAGGACATTATCAACTCCGCATCGATATCACGGCCAGCAGGTTATCGTCTTGATACAATGGGTAGATACGCCAGAATCAAGTTGCAGACCAATGTCGCCATCACTTGGCTCATCGAGACTGCTTTCGAGCACGGTAAGTATTTATTTCCCCTTCCACCACTACCTACGGACCGTACCCTCTAACACGACTTTGTTGTAGGCAGCAATGTGCAAGTCGGTGGCGATACCAACTCCAGAGCTTCAGCCGTGGCAACGCCCACGAGCACTTCGATCAAGACAGGCCGGTTGAAGGGAAAAGCGCGCAAAGAAGCAAAGAAGAAGGAGCAACTGCAAAGTCAAGCACCCGCACCTAAGATCAAGGCCTCGAAAACAATCTACAAAGTGTCAACTGAGGAGATACTTCGCCAAGCCCGCTATCTGGAGAACCTTGACCAGGAACTCGTCATGTCTAAGCCTGCATGGGACGCCTTCAAAGAAGCTGTGCGAGGCCGTACAGAGTACGCCACCAAATTCGCTAACGAACAACCGGACCATGAAGGTAACGCCGGTCACGTATACTTTCTCGATACACTTCGACAGGTAGTCGACATGATTGGAAAGTTTGTTCGAGTCCAAGAAACCTCTCTGGATAATTCGGCAAAACTACAAGACACGGGTCTGGCCTTGCATAACCTGTTTGACATCCTACGGGACGTTGAGCTGACCGATGGTGTACAAGGAACAGCCAACCTGGCCACAACTCCCGACAAAGGTCCAGCTTACGGAGCGGCTGGAGCTGTACCATCAGCTCGTTATGAGCCCGCCATTGACTCCATCGAGGAATCACGGTTGCGCTGGCTCTGTTTCAAGGACGACGCTGATTCAATTATATCATGGGTGATCAACCTATGGAAGCAGTACTTTGACCAATCTGAGGAAGATGTAAGCTTAGAGACTACATCTCTCCTATCAGATCTAGCGCTCGATCTGTTGTATAAGATCGAAGACGACATGGAGCATAACAATGACAAAGTAAAGGAAGCCATGCGTAAGGAGTCAGCGTCACTCAGGAACTGGAGTTCGACCGTCCTTGCGCTCTCGGATTTCCGCGCCGCTATAAATAAACGTCCAGGATACCCGGTTGTAGTAAAGCTGGTACACAAGAGACATCCCCAACTCGGACTCGATCCGTACAAGGATTTTATCCTATTCGACGCTAAACTTGTGCGCTATCTTGCAGAGCTTCATTTAGAGATGGTTAGTCCTGACAGACCAATTGAGGTGCCCCACTGACTGCTCTCAGACACTGCGTTTTGATAATTGGGAGCTGAATGGACCACCGCCCAACTACCAACGGTGCATCAGTAATGCAAGCCTCGACCTCATATCCCGGACGCTCACTGGCGTATGTCGTGCAAACCAGGACTACATTGCCGCAAGTATTCTAGAGGGCATATGGGGTCTACATAGTCCGAACGCGCATGAGCCTTTCCACCGTGTTGCCCGGCTTGCGAACGTCATATCAGATCAGTCCGACCACTATCGTGACGATGATATATTGTTTCCGGAACGGTCCAAAGACAAGGTACATGAGTTTCAAATCTTGCTCTCGTGGACCTTTGAGTGGCCTGGAACAACCCTGCGATATTTCGACCTTCGAGCCGTCGACTCCGACCACCCTGCCGCAGCCCTCTCTGGATTCCACCGCGACATCTGGAAGCATCTCGATATCAGTGTGGCCAGGAAGGAACATATTATCAGGGCATGCGCATCAATTCCCGACCCCGCAGGGACGCCCGAGGCGCGTCTACAATTTGGCGAGGAGCATGTCATGCCATCAGAAGACCCAAACTTCCTGCGCAAGAACAATCCGCTTACACCGGCAAAGTTAGCTCTCAACTTGCAGTTTCTACGGGCTGAGATTGGTCTCGACTTCGCGAACGATGATCTTAGCTTGTTCCTCATGTGTCACTTATATAACGCACTTCGGCAACTAGGATATCTTGACGTTGCGTGGGAAACGCTCGACTCATTCATCGACATGCACATCAAGACCATATTCCTTGGTGCACTTCCAAAGGAAAGCGCAAAGCAAATATGCAACCGTGCTTCCATCGCGATCGGATGTGCGCCAGAACTTGTTCGAGCTCGC